TTGAAAAAGCAAAAAAAAAAAAAAAAAAAAAAAACCAAGATAAATCGTTATTACAAAAATTTTAAAATAAATGGAGAACAATTATTGCCCAAAGAGCACTCCAATTTGTCCCTTGCGAAAGAAACATCGATTCATTAAAAGTCATGTATTAAAGCTTAAATTTGAAAATGGTAATTATTTTATTAAGAATCAGTGAGATAGAGCTAAGAATCAATGAGATAGAGCTACAATGAGCAGACAGATTGGGTTTATCAAACCAGGCGCTAAAGGGGGAGACGGCTACCTGGAGAGTATAACCTGATGAACGTATTGAACCCTAAGGAAATGCAAATCTATTGTGAAATCCCTTTATGATTTGAATGAACCTTCGATTTAGCGCATAAGAAAGTTATAGAAAAGGTCACCTGTTTGGAGTCGCCGAGGGAAACAGAATAACGTCGGTGATGCGTCGGAAAGAGAATAAGACTGATAGATCTATCATTCTCCTGATAGATCTGTCATCCACCGATACATCATCTGTAATTGCTTTCATCTTTATATTAAAGAAACAAATAGAAGAGAGAGAAAGAAGCGTATGAATTCGGATAGACAAATCCGGTTTCAAATTTCCAGAAATGGAGAAATTCAGTGACGATGATCCATCGAAAGTGAGTTAAGGAGATGGAAATCAAACCTTGAATCGAGAGTTTAAAAGAAGAAGGTTTGTATTTGTTGCTTTCTGTCTGCCTCCATCGTTGTCTCTATTTCGTGCTTTGAAGTCCGGTCAATCTTCTCCACACAGAAATCAGACCCTCATCTCCGATTACGGTGGCGTCTGCATTCGTCAGAGGCTGGAGATGGAAAGCATTTTGAGAGAATGAAACCAACCACCATGTAAATGCGTACATTTTATCTACTGTTGATAAAGCCAGAAATCGAAGCTTGATTAGTCGATGAAACGGTGAGGCCACATGTACACCAACAACCTACAAAACGGTGAGGCCACCTGTACACCAACAGCCTACAAAATGACATAATGAAAGAAAAAAGCACTAAAGACAAATACACAAAATAGATGGACCATAAGATAAAAGAAATGAGAAGTATAAATAAAAAGGTTGAAACTGACAAAACAGTTGGTACTTTACTGTAGCTAAGGATAAATTTTTTGATATATATATATATATATATATATATATATATATATATATATATATATATATATATATATATAAAATAAACCAAACTTACAACAAAATAAAAAAATAAAAGTTTAGAAACAATTTAGACCCTAGTTTTAAATTCGTACCTAACAAAGAGATTGCTCATTGTCTATTGAATTTAATTCCCACCCTATCTTGAGCTTTGAGTTTTCATACTCACTCATTGCCCACATGCCCCACACTTCTATTTGTCTCTCGATAATGTCTGATGCCGTTTCCAAAACAAGAAACCTTTGAGCAAGTCAACCGTAAATTCAACGGTTGTAATTTAATTGGCGGGCCCAATATCCAGATTAGTTGTTGTAAACTTATAATCCTCATAAATATTACTCCATGACTTTTATCTTGAATACTTTATTTCTTACAATATACTAAACGTTAATATATTTTGATTTCATTTTTATTTAAGGTTAATTCCTTTTTTTTTTTTATAACTAATTTTGTTCCAAAAAATATTTATTGTAACGTCAAAATAAACCGAGAAGCCCATATCCAAACACCGCCATCATTGTCTTTCTCTCTTTCGTAGCTGTTTCTCTTTCAAATTTTACTCCTACTTTTACCAGACTATTGGCCGTAGACTAGACTCTAGAGTGTCTCCTCCACTCGTTTGAGCTCCGGCGTATTTCATCACCACCGATGCCTCCGCTTCCTTAAGGTATGATTCTTCTTATTCTCGTCGTCCTCTTCTTATCTCGCTTCTCTTTTAGGATCTGAAACCCTAGAGTAAAGGAAAGCTGACTCTGCAGTTTTCATACTTGGATGTGATCTTCAAAGTCGCTCAATTTTTATTGTCAAAATACACAACATTTAGAGAATTGCCTGTTTGATTGTGATTTGTTTTTTTTTTAATATGAGTCAGGAGATACTCGTCTCATTTTTCACAAACGTGTTCGTTTTTTTCTAGTTAAAGGAAATCCTTAATCCTACAACTATTTATCATCGTTTTGTAGTAAATTTAAAGCATCTTTGAATCAAAACAGAAGATCTGGCTTCATGTTAAACATTTCAACGTGAATTTTAGGAATACTGCGATATTCTCAACATATTCGCTTTGAAGAACCATTCATCCACCTTCTAGATAACCGAAACTTCATTCGTTCCCTTCAAGATGGCGAGATTTCTGTTGATTGTATTCATTGTCCTCTGCTTCCTTTCAAGTTTTATCACAGTCAACACTCAGAGAACTCGAAGGTCCTCTAATGGTAGCGCTACAAAACAGCTAAGATTCGATAAAAAGAAGGGCGAGTTTAAGATTCTACAGGTGGCTGACATGCACTATGCCGATGGCAGAAAGACTCCATGTGAAGATGTCTTGCCCAACCAGCTTTTCCATTGCTCTGATCTCAACACCAGTGTCTTCATCAACCGAATGATCAAAGCTGAAAAACCCGACCTCATTGTTTTCACAGGGGACAACATCTACGGATTTGATGCAACAGATGCAGCATCCTCCATGAACGCAGCTTTTGCCCCTGCAATCTCATCAAACATCCCATGGGCTGCAGTTTTAGGCAACCACGATCAAGAATCAACCTTATCAAGAGCAGGTGTCATGAAACATATTGTTACAATGAAGAACACATTATCTCAACTCAATCCTGAAGGTATTGAAATCATAGATGGTTTTGGGAATTACAATCTTGAAGTCCATGGAGCTGAAGGAACAAGCTCAATGAACAAATCGATTCTCAACTTATACTTTCTTGATAGTGGCGATTACTCCACAGTATCTTCAATCCCTGGATACGGATGGATCAAACCATCTCAACAGTTTTGGTTTCAAGAAACGTCTAGAAAGCTTCAAAAGACATCAAAAGCACCTGGACTTGCGTATTTTCACATCCCATTACCTGAGTATGCAAGGTTTGACAAGTCAAACTTTACGGGTGTGAGACAAGAAGGGATAAGTTCTGCTTCTGTGAACTCAGGGTTCTTTACAACTTTAGTTGAGACAGGTGATGTGAAGGGTGTTTTCACTGGACATGATCATTTGAATGATTTTTGTGGGAAGTTGAGTGGGATTCATCTTTGTTATGGTGGAGGGTTTGGGTACCATGCGTATGGGAAGGCAGGGTGGTCAAGAAGGGCGAGGGTGGTGGTGGTTTCTTTAGGGAAGGATGAAAATGTGAAGAGTATTAGAACATGGAAGAGGCTTGATGATCAAAAGTTGACTACCATTGATGAACAGGTTCTTTGGAGGCGGAGTTCATCTGGGAGTCGTAGGAAGAAGCCACCTGTTGTTAACCCTTGAAATTTTAGACAAGATCTTGGATCTTGTTGTAATTTACACGATTATAAGGGTATAAGGTTAGGTTGGTCAATAAGAGGTATGTTTATTATGTTGGTCACAATTTGATCTTTTTTGTTAGCAATTGAGAAGTGAAAGAGGTAAGTGGTTTGTACTTTGTAGTAGGCTCTTATATATATATATATATATATATATATATATATTTTTTTTTTGAAAGAGCAGTAATGCTATTTCTTTGTGGCTAGAAATGAAGAAGTCAACTTATTGTTATTTTTTATGCATTTTGTTGTGTTCCATTCCAAGTTCCAACTATGTTTTATATTGGGCAAGACATAATATGACAAGAACGAGAAGTACTCAACCACAATGGAGAGAAAATAAAGAGTTGTATGATAAAAGAAAAAAATACTACAACCAAGAAAGTTGCAAGGAAAGTGGACCAATGGTAAGGTGTGATGGAGGGAATCATGGTAATATGGTAAAAACTATGTGGAAAAGCACAACCTTCAAGTTCCACAACTATCTTCATTTCCTACCATTCTAATCTTATTTCATTCGAATCTTCAACACTCATCGTACCCAATTTTATCTTTGCAAAATGTCTTCTTCAAATGATCAACCCAATTCCACTAATAAAGGGAAGACCTTGAATTGAACCTTGGAACCCCATAAAAGAGGGGGCTTTGCTCGTGCATGGGTCAATGTATCAGAGGTCCCGAGGGTCGACATCAACCAAAATGTTTCATCTTTTTGGACAAAAGTCATCGAACGTTTCCTCAACGGAATGAACCGTGGTCACTACATAAAGAAATATCAAATCTACATAAATTGAAGGTACAATAAAAAAAAAAGGGTAATGGAGTTTGACACTCTATTTAATAAAGTGAAATGTGATTGGTAAAAGGTAAAAAAAAAAAAAAAAAAAAATGATGCAATGATTTTAAGCATTGTTCTTGAAATTTTCGGCCAAGAAAACTGAAATACTTTATGCTATAGTGAGAGTTGGGGTATTGTCAAGGAGTGTACAAAATGACATCAAATGTAATACTAATTTTTATGTTTATTATTATTGTTCTTAGATTTTAACCGAATGTTATGTATTTTTATTTTAATGTAATGAAGTTTCTAGTTTTAATTTCATATTACATAATTTCCTTTTTAATTAATGAAATATCTAGTTTTATATAAATTAAGTAGTTTCAATATTATAAAAAACCTTGGCATGGCAAACATTGCAATGGAAGAAATTTAGATTGAATATAATCATATATAGCAAATATTTATATTTTATATTTGGAGATACAAAAAAAATTAGTGAAACTTGTAAGGTTCTTTAGTTAATATTATAAAAGACATTATATTTTTCATTTCTATTTAAAATTGATTTTTTATTTTTTAAATATACAATCATATTTTTCAATTTTCCGTTTTGTCTCCATTAAGGTGCTGTTGGTTTTTCTATAAAAACCTCTTCAAACCACTTATTGCTGTTCGGCACAGCACACGCGCAACACATTCCCTCTTGCAGCAGTTTGTTTTTTGGAAGACTTCAGACTACAAAACCTCTGCGCGTGTGCTGTGTGGCGCAACACTTGACTTGCCTCTTCTAACCTCTTCACTTTTCATTTTTTCTAAGTGTTTCTTTAAGAATTTTTGTATAACCCTTTTTATTTTTTTTTTTAAACTTTGATTTTCTTAAATTTTTTATTTACGGATGTGATACAATTTATTTTTATAATTTCCTCGATTTTTTTAATTTTTTTTTACAGTTTTATTAATAATATTTTCAATTTCAGTTGCATGTTTTTTAACGTGTGTAATTTTTTACGAACTTTGTAGACAACGTTTGCAATACTTTCTTAATTTTTTTATTATTTTCTTTTTTAATGTTTTTTAAAATTAGTTTTTTTTTTCTAGAATAAAACTATTAGCTTTTTTTACATTTTTTTAAGTTTTTTTTTTTTTTTTTTTTTTTTTTTTTTTTTTAAGTTTTATATTTTTTTTTTACATGTTCTTGTTATTATTATTTCAATGTTTAAGACTAAAATTATTAAGTTTCAGTGAAATTAGTTTATTTAAATTTTAGTTTACTGCAGCAGTCTGCAGATGTTAAAAAACAAACATGCTTCTTATTATAAGCTGCAACCATTTGTTCCACCTCTTCTGCTACAGAGGATTGCAGAGGTAGTCTGCAGACTTCATGAATTTTCGCTTCGAAAAAACAAACAACACGTTAGAGGTTTACCGTTAATTGAGAAGTTTTTTTTTATTTGAAAAAACCCTAAAAAACTATGAAAAACCCTCATGCTTGGCAAACGTTTTTTTCATTTTGACCCATAATTCTTTTGTTCTTGTTGTTAATGTTGTTTATTGTGTTATTGATGGAGGAATATAGAGGTTTGATTGTGTCCGTGTTTGCTAATTTAAACAGTAAAGGTTCCACATATGCTAACTTAATGTGAATTGTATCACAAATGGTTTTTGTGTCTTCTAATTTAGATACACAAAGTTATACATCTGTTAACTTGTACACAAAGGTATCACAAATGGTTATGTAACCATTAATTTGGAGACTATAGGTTTTATTTTTGTTAATTTGAAAATGAATAATAATCAATGCATAAGAACTTGGTTGGCTATGTTATTATCGTCTTATTTGTACGAGTTTTCGATATGAAAAAAATTAGTGAAAGCTGAAATTAGGTTTTCAAATATAGATTAGAGTTCGAAAGAAACATGTTATGTCAATTATAATTTCCGAATGTCTTACAAATAAATTTCGATATGTATTTTTTGTCGGTAAAATAGGATACAACCACTTTTTTTTTTTTTTTTTTTTTTTTTGAAAACAATCTTATGTTTTCTTTGACATTGAAAAATCTAAAGGATTTTATTAAAAATTATACTTCTTCCGTCCCAAAATTATAGTTTACAGACAAAAAACATACAGATTAAAAAAATATTAATTATCATTAACTTTATAAAATAAAAATACAGTTTTGTTTTTACTTTGTATTTAATATTCCATTAAATGCTTAGTTAGTTAAATAATAATGAGATATTTTTTGTAAAAATATTATTTATTTTTATAATTAAACTATTGTTTTGGCAAAAAAAAAAAAAAAAATTGACTATAATTTTAAGATGGAGGGAAGAACTATATAAATTTAAAGAGAAAAATATAAAAATATAAAGTGTTATAATAATAACCTTTTAAACATAAATCTTACGAGGGCAAAATGGGAAATGAAAAACAAACGTTGGGTTTTAAAGAGGTTTTACGAATGTTTTCAATTATCCAGATATTTCTCGCACTCAGGAGCTACAAAACTGAAAGAACATGAGCAACTTGACGGGATTCGAAGCTCCGATCTCCACCATCGCCGGTGCCACAAAGCCTTTTGCCTTCAACTCCCCAGTCCTTCCGTTCAGTAGCGAATTCCTCTTCGCTACCCCTAAATCCTTCCCAATTCTCATCTTATCCTTCAAATCCCATAAACCCCCAACTACCAAATTCAACAAATTTCAAACATCCAGTAAGTTTTCGCGTTTTCTCAACTTACTCCGCTTCATTTCGAACTTTGATATGGATTTGTTATGCTGGTCTTTGTATCTGATATTTGTATGGAACCTCGAAAACTTAAGGGATCCTTATTGAGTTCTTCGAAGAATTGGTGTTATCTGTGAAATAGATATTCAAAGGAATTACACGGTTTTCCCCTTGGATATTGGAGGAATTCGATTAAAAACTTGAAAATTATCGCTTATTTTCCTTTTCTTCTCTTGATTAGAGCGAGTATTAGAGATTGATTTTGTTTGCTTTTTTTTTTTCTTTCTATTTAGAGACTTCATGTAGCAATTCGAGTACTGCACAACTTGAGGAGGACCAAGAAGTTGAAATCGCTGAAGGATATACAATGACTAAATTTGTTGATAAGATCATTGATCTGTTCTTGAATGAGAAACCCAAGCCCAAAGACTGGATGAGGTACTTGATTTTCAGAGAAGATTGGAATAAATACAGAGACAACTTCTACAATCGGTGTAAATCACGTGCAGATACAGAAAACGATTTCACATTAAAGCAAAGTTTGATCACATTGGCAACAGAAGTCAAAAAGGTAAAATTTCTACACCATCACTTAAATTTCATTTTCTCGACTGATTCCTGAAAAAAATTTGCAGGTTGATGAAGAAATGGAAAAACATTCAGAACTTCTTAAGCAGATAGAAGACAGCCCAATGGACATAAACGCCATAGTTACAAAGCGTCGCAAGGATTTCACAGGAGAATTCTTTCGTTACTTAACAGTAGTTCAAGAAACACATGATAACTTAGAAGATCGTGATGGTGATGATATCTTAAAACATCACATTCAATTTTCTAAACTTTTTCATATGCATTTCTGATTTCATCTCACTTCTTTTTAAGCAGCCATTGCAAGGCTCGGAGCTCGATGCTTATCTGCAGTGAGTGCATACGACAACACATTGGAAACAATGGAGTCATTTGACGATGCTCAGGCCAAATTTGATAATATTTTAAACTCACCTTCCATTGAAGCAGCATGTGCTAAAATCAAAAGCCTTGCAAAAGCAAAAGAACTTGATTCCTCTTTAATTTTGTTGATTAATAGCGCTTGGGCTTCTGCAAAAGACTCCCCCACCATGAAAAATGAGGTAAAAATCATAACTTTTTATATTCAAACAGCTTTATTTAACATGAACTTGAAAGATTTTTTACTTTTGAAGGTGAAATCGATAATGTATGAGTTATATAAAGCAACAAAGAGTAGTTTAAAAAGCATAGCACCAAAAGAAATAAAGCTACTGAAGTATCTGCTTAATTTCACGGATCCAGAAGAACGATTTTCAGCTTTAGCAACTGCATTTTCTCCTGGTAAAGATGATGAGGCCAAGGATCCCAATGCAATATACACGTAAATTGACTCTGATTTTAATTTATTTATTTAACTGTGAAATTGAATTTTCAAGATCATGTATGAGGATGTTGTATTTTATTACAGAACTCCAAAGGAGCTTCACAAGTGGATTACTATAATGCTGGATGCATATCAGCTTCATAAAGAGGAAACAGGGATTATGGAAGCTAAGGAGATGAATTTACCAATGGTTATTCAGAGACTTTCTATTCTTAAGGAAACAGTTGAAGAAGAATACTTGGAAAAGGATACACCTGAAGGGAAAAAAGAGACCAATGCAGAAGAATTTTGAGGTACTATTGTTTTTTTTTTTTTTTTTTTTTTTTTAATGATTTTTGGTTTGTAGTTGCTATTATGGTTAGTATGGCTGTATGGGGTACAAATTTTGTAAGCAAATAGTTGAAATGTCAATTAGGATAGTTAGGTCAAAAACCAGTTAGACCTTTAAGTTGTTCTTTCAAAATTTTATATTATTATTATAGTATAATATAGGTTTTTTCTTAATTATGTTTAGTATGTTAATTATATGTAAAAAAAAATGTTCCTGAAATGTTCTTAAATCAACCAGGCCTTCTTGGTTTATTTTATATCTAATGATTTGTTTGTTGATGTTAAGAACTAAAGTTTGTACAACTTCACGATGCTGCTGCGAAAAAATTGGATATATACATTATACAATAAGAAATATATAATTTACAATATGACAATATGAAAAGGAATTTTTATGTGTTTTTGCAATCTTACATGCATAAAAACTTGTAAAAACTTATTTTTAATTTTTTTTATAAAAAACGAAGTTGTAAAAAACGATGTAAAAGAAGTTGTACAAATATAACTTTGTAAAAGAAAAACTATATTTTACAAAACATATAATAACAAATTTGTAAAAAAATGTTTGAAGAAATTTGGAAGAAAAAAAAAAACGGACCAAATTCTTAATAATACCTGAAAGTTGCACCAAAGCTGTAAAAAGTAGCATGGTGGGACCAAGTTCACAATAAAATATAAATATTGGGTCAAAACCGGAGAAAAAAGAAAGTTAGATGGTGGGACTTGGACCAGAGTTGGACCAAGGTAATGATATATTCGACCCGTAAATAAACAAAGATGGAAGGGAGGGGTGTCAAACTCCTACTCCATCCGAAGTAAATCAATCGCCAACTTTATGTTTCATACTTGTCTCTGGCTTTCTAAATTTCTAGTTAATTCTACGTCTCTTTTAACTATGATGATATTTGTTTATGAAGTTTAAAAGATCCTACCCTAAATGAAGATAAAACAAACATGACAACTAATGGTACATCTCTGGTTTTTCGAAAAAGCTTAATCTTACTTAGGGATGTCAATAGGACTGATGTTGGTGATATTAGTCTCATATCCGATTATAATACCATATTTTAAGCTCGGTCCCATCTTGTCAGTTACCCAATTAGTAAATACTTATTAGATTTCAGATATCAAGTTCTCATCGAAAGCTGATCATAAGACCAACCGGTATGCTCACAACGAAGGCTTTTGTGGCTGATATGGCAACGACCGCTAACCACGATGACCATCCCGATGCTTAGTGGTTGGTAGTGGTCGTGGTGGATTGTTGTCCACACCACGAAAGAGCACACCCGATACAATTCTTTTTCTTTCTATCTCTCTAACTCTCTTAATCTCTCTCTACAATAATATATATATATATATATATATATATATATATATATATATATATTATAATAATAATAATAATAATAATAATAATAATAATAATAATAATAATAAGAGGGATATGGTGGTGGGGAATCAAGATCAAATAAGAAATAAAATTTTGGTAGCAATGTAACAAAAATTTTCATATACATTTTTTTAGCAAATAAACGAAATGAATCATTAGATGATTCAAATTAAGATGATTCACAATAAAAAATTCCGAAAAAAAATATCTTTATGATTCATTTTTAAGTAAATCAAGAAAAAATTCACTTTTATGATAATTTTAGTAAATATAAACAAAGTTATCGTAAAAATGAATCATCGAAATGTTTTTTCGGGAATTTTTTTTGGTGAATCATGTTATTATTGACTCATTTAGTGATTCAATTGTTTTGTTTGCCAAAAAAATAAGCCGAAAAAAAAAATCTTACATTTCTACCAAAAAAATTTCTTATTGGATCTATATTGTAGTAATGGATATCTCATAGGTTTAGAGGTTGAATATGGTGATAAGCTGGCACCCGATGTGTATAACATATGGCCTAATTTTATTCAAAAAATGACTTCCAATGTTTACTAATTTTACTTTCTAATCACATCAACAAGTTTAATATCTTAATAACTTTTACATAAATATAATTATCACTATACAAAATTTATATTATTCAAATTTCATGATAAACTAATTATATTTAATAACATAAATATTAAAAGAATATCTACGAATTTTCATTAGTAAAAATTTGAAATCATATATATTACTAAAAAAAGTATAAGTGTATAACTTTTTATTTCTATTTTTCGAAATCAATTCTTAGAAATTTAAATTTTATACGTTATCTTTTTGTTTTATATTAAAACACAATAATAAATAATATATAAAATAAAGTTCACATCAAGAAGCACCAAATTTTCAGCCGCCTGCCAATTAGCATGGTAAAGACTGATTGGGGTTGTTGCATTTTAATCAGGATTAAGTTTTGGTTACGATTAGAATTCAATGTAAAGACATTGTTAGAAGAGAAATACCAAAAACAATTAATCATAAAAAAAGACGAAAGAACAATAATAGAGAAATAAAAATAGGAGTAGACAATGTTTACCATTAAAAACCAAAAACAATTATATAAAACTAAATCATTCGTTTTATAAATAGTAATCAACTCCGTCTACAAATTATTTTAACTTAAAGGTGTTGTTTCAACTTTATCATTTGCATAAATTATTAATTCTAGTTTTAATAAGTTTTGTGTCACAATCAATAATATATTTCAAAATGTTCCGAAATGTTAATGTCTTTTTCCATCTTATTATCTTTTACTATACAAATCCAATAACTAATACCAGTTGAATTAATTAAAATTTAATAACTAATAATAATTATAATGATATCATCATAAGAAATAGAAATACAATCTCTCTTCTTGTACTTGTTGTCTTGTTAGACTGTTAGTACATAATAGGAAACGTACAATTAGTACACTTTTGTGTCATGAAGAAAGAGTGTTATCTACATATGTTGCTTATACGAAACTTATAACGAATACAAAACTGCCTTCAATTCGGAAAATTTAAATAGGGTTCAATTTGATCAAGCAATCGGAACCTGCAGCCGTTGCCGGCGCCGGCGCTTTTCAGTAGTGATCTTCTTCTCAGGGACTCTTTTTTTCTTCAGGTAACCATTCGTCAAAAATTTCACTAGTTTAATTTGATCACGATGATTGATTGATTGATGCTTAACCAATAAATTATTATATTATAATCGTGATTCATCCTTTAACGTTGTTTTTTTTTACCATTCTTTCTCAAAATTTCATCCAAAGTTTTAAAAATATAGTTAAATGTAATTCGGAATCATCCTAATCAAAGATCATTGTTTCCGAAGGAGATCGTTAGATGAGAATTAGATCTTCATATTTAGTTGAGTCCAATTTCATTTAACAGGTTACTTAGCATTACTTCAATGATATACTGTTTAATCTCATGAATGATTATTCAGCTGAAATGAAAATTGTGTGTCTTCCGATTTCCGATATCCATAAATTAAAACGTATCCAAGCTTTTTGTTAGTCAAATTCATATTTGTTTTGTAGGTGAGAATCAAAATGGTTATGGAACAAGAATCAGAGTGGAATTCAGCTCAAAATATCACGATAAGTGAAGATCTAGTGTCTGCTGCTAAGCGTCACCTCCAATTTCTTGCTGCTGTAGACAGCAACCGTTGGCTTTATGGAGGCCAATCTTTGCAATGGGCCATCTACAGGTAAATAAGTCATCATCGTCTGATGATAAATTGATAATACTTCATTTCATTTCAACCTTCTCTTTTACAAATCATCAGAGACACTCAATTTCAGGTATAACGCTTGCTGGCTTCCTTTGCTTGCTAAACATTCTAAGTCTCATGTCACAAAAGGACCTTTGGTTGTCCCTCTTGATTGTGAATGGGTTTGGCATTGTCACAGGCTCAATCCTGTAAGTCTCTCAACTTAAGAACCTTTGATGAAGTTTCTAGAATGTTCTGGAGACTAAAAACATAGTAATATATTGCTCTTCATCTCTTATTCAGGTCAGGTACAAATCCGATTGTGAAGAATTTTATGGAAAGATTCTTGACAACCATCATGTTGCATCCTCTGTTGAAGGAATATCAAGCAATGAAACAGAAGAAATATGGAACAAACTGTATCCCAATGAGCCCTATGAAATCAACCTGTCACTTCCAAATACAGAACATTCAGAAAAGACCTACTACAGAGCTGAAAAGCATACGAAATACAATCTTGTTTTAGCTATTGAAAGACAAGTCCCTTTCTTTTACCAGGTATCCAGACCCTATATGAACAACAATCACTTTCTTGAAGCAGCCTTAGCCAGATACAAAGGCTTCTTGCATCTAATCAAGAGAAACAAAGAGAGATCCATAAGATGTTTTTGTGTCCCCACTTATGATATTGACCTAATCTGGCATACACACCAGTTACACCCTGCTTCTTACAGTAAAGACTTGGTGAAATCACTTGGAAAGATTCTTGAACATGATGACACAGATCAAAAAAGAGGCAAAGGTCAGAAACTAGATGTTGGATTTTCTCAAACTATAAATCAATGGGAGGAGATGTTTGGTTCAAGGTATTGGAGAGCAGGAGCAATGTATAGAGGTACTCCACCTTCTCCTCTCACAACCACTCAAGTTATATCCAAAAAGGTTGATGGGTTTCAGAAATCAATCGATCTTCCTGAAGAAAATGTCATTGAGGTAATTCTTGAATTAACAGATGAATATTTCTTGATGATTTTTTGAGATTAAGTTATAACTGAATGCTGTTACTTTAGGTTGTATTGGAGATTGTAGAAATCAAAAACTTACCAAAGACCCATAAGAAAAAAGTTTGGGTTTTTTTCAGTAAGGCGCAACCTGATGGAATCTTTGATGTTAAAAGGAGAGTTGATATCCAGTCTGAATCTGGGAAGAAACAGGTTGCTACATTCCAGTGTGAGGCTAATGGATCTATTCTCTTTGAACTTGTTTCTGAATTAGATCCATCCAAATCAGGTGAAAGTGAAATTTTGGGTTGCTGTTTTATGTCTTTGGATGACTTTTTTACCCCTGTGTTTAATCTGTGTGTGGAAAAATGGTTTGATTTGGTTCCAAGTTCTGGCATTGTTGCTTCTGAGCCTATTCGTGTGAGAGTTGCAGCCTCATGCACTCCCCCTTTCTCAAAAAGCTCAATCGTTTCCGGTAAGGGACAGTTTGCTGTGAGCGGTGGATGTGGAGGTGGTTGTGGGAATATGGTGAAGGGTGGTGGATGTGGTAGTGGTTGTGGTGGGGGGTGTGGAAGTGGTTGCGGGAATATGGTCAACAGTGGTGGTGGTTGTGGTGGCGGATGTGGAAATATGGTGAAGAGTGGTGCTTGTGGTGGTGGATGTGGAGGCGGTTGTGGGAAAATGGTTGAGGGTGGTGGTGGTGGGGGATGTGGAGGTGGCTGTGGGAATATGGTGAAGAGTGGTGGCGGATGTGGTGGTGGTTGTGGGAGTATGGTTAAAAGTGGTGGCTTAGAGGTAGCAGTTAATGCATAAGGGATAAAATAAGTGATCCTTGTATCTCGGGAAGTTTCTAAGTAATTGATGTGCTGCATAAGTATAAATAAGTGTGCAAATGGTGTGTATGAATGCCAATGGTGTGTTGTATTATGCATTATGTTATAAGTTATGTAATGATGTAACCATGGATCTCTAACACAAATCCTGGTTCATATATGTATGTAAACTGTGTTTGGACATGGCCTAATTTAAATTATGATGACGTGGCACAGTTTACCATGCTTTTATGTTAAAAAAGAATAGATATGGTTTGGGATCTTGTTCTTCTTTGGATTATGTGACTCTTTTGCTGCCATGACTTCATATTTTGTTGAAGACTGTAAGCTTCCTCCATTATTAGAACGAACTAACAACTTATACAACTCATGGAGAGATATAAGGTAAATACAAATGATTTGTGTATGATATTCATAAACAACTTAATGTTATAAAATGGCCACCAATTACTATCAGTTTGCTCTTCAAGTTTGTTATCTTTGAATTGTACTCAATAGACAATAACACCATTAAACTTTTTTTCTATGTTTCATTACACCATTAGAAAAAAAATAATAAGTACAATGTTACACTTGGATGGATTTATTTGAAGTATGATGCCTTAATAAGAAAAAAGTGAAAGTGCATTGTTGTAAAAAATAGTAAAAATAGGATGCTATTAAAGAAGGTTGTTGTGCACTTTCGTGCTTTTGTGACATGCCATCCAATGCTTTTGTTTTAAACTATCAGTTTTGGAATGGAGAAAAAATAAAGGAAAGTAAGATTTTATAATAAACAATTAAATGAAAGTACATTGCTACTTCTTGAAAGACAATTGAAAAGTTTATCTGATGCATGAGAAACTGGTGTAAAAAGAAATGGAATTATGATGCTATGTGGATACAACATTCCATCATCTATAAGTTATAGTTCTAATGTTATATGATCCAAAGACACATAGTATTCTTATAAACAGTCACTGAGTTTATTTTATTTTATGCATGAGTAACTTGTATTTGTGTGTAATTTGATTCCAAAAATATGAGTTTGTGTTACAACTCCAAATTATATGAAACTTATGTTGACTTTCTAATGTTTTCAATCCATCTCCAGATTATATGAAACTGAAAGTACAATGATATAGTTGGATACAATTTTTCAATGTACAATTGAAAATTTTGGCAATACAACACCTTAACATAATTTAATTAGAGTAGAATATTATCATAAACAGTTAACCACACAATTATTTCTTTCATTTAGCCCTAAAAGATATGTGCATAAGTACACATACTTTCTGGTAACAAAAATCGAGATATTTTTTCTGTATTCTGTAAACTGTTTTTTTAAAACTGTAGTTTTGTGAAAACACTTAGAATGCATCCACCCAATTGTAGCAATGTCATTCAAATGCAAACACATTTGACTTTTTCTAAGTATAATGTCCAAATAAGAAAAAAAGTATAATTTGATAGATATTTCAAAGTAGAGTGTTGCAACAGAATGGAATGTAACCATTGGATAACATATTTAGTTAGTGGTTAAAGTTAATGAAAAGATGATGTGACAATAACTTTAATCATGTACAAAAACAGTTAATGAGCACATTTCTAGGTAGAAAGACAAGATCAATGATCAATGTACAACATGTTTACACTTATTAGTAGTTAGTCTCTTCACCTAAGGCTAACAGACACCACCAATCCATTACACTCAACTTCTTCACCTTCATTTCCAAGAGCCTAATTGCAACAACACAAAACCATATTTCAGTAAAAACAAACTTTAAATTTAAAAAAAAAAAAAAAAATAGAAAATATACCTCTTCATCACCCTCAAAGTTACCTAAAAAACCTAAACTTGACCACCATCATCATCATCATCATCTCCAACAATACATTCATCCTCAAAAATATCAATCAAAGCCATTCCCTGTTTAAACTCAAACTCATTAATAGCATCTTTAGCACCAAAAACCAATGCATTTTTAGCAACTTTAATCGCATCCTTTCTCTTTTCAGAACTTCCCCCTTTCACCCCTTCACTTCTGCTATTATACTTTTCAGCCTTTTTACTAGCCACCTTCCTACTAGCCTCCCTACAATGCAACTGATCAATATACTTTTCATGTAAAGCCTTATTCTTCACCTGCTTCAAAACAGGAGGACTCACAAGTGTTCCACTTACACCACCACTAAATCTTGAAAGACTCTTTTTATAATGAGCTGTTGAAGAAGATCTCTTGAATGCCACATCCATGTCCAGGTGGCGTACAGGTGTCGTAAGAGAGGTTAAAGACTCGGTGAAACTGGGCTCAAGAACTGAGAACAAATCAGCTTCTGAATCTTGTTCTCCTTTATTATACTGATTTTGTAACATGTGTCTTACGTTTCTTTGGATTACATGACTCTTTTGCTTATAAGATTTGGGCTTTTTAGTTGTGGGACTTGAAGAACTGAGAAATTTGCTTGCTGATAAAACCGGGTCTTGTGAATTTGGTAAGCGGGCCCGGGAACGGAGGCGAGGTGGAGGGGGTGTCAGGTGGCTTCCGTGTACTTTGTCAAAACATTCCTGTGCAGATTTTCCAGGCACCTGTGTAATTAATTACAAGGAGTGATGACATCATCATTCATGGTGTATATATGGATTTTATATTTAGGAATTATGATGAAAAGTGAATTACCAGTTTGGAAACTTTCTTCCAGAAGTGTGGGGTGGGTTTTGCTTTAAGGTAAGCTCTTTCCAATGCTGATTCTTGATCTTTGGTCCAACCATGAGAAATTACTGGAATGCCCTCGTGCTGATTTCTTTTTCTTTTAACCCCGATATTCTTTTGATTTTTCTTAATAGTATCTTTCTTGTTCATGGGTTGTTGTTCATCATGCGATATACTAGGAGTTGTAATGGCAACTTCATTTTCATTTGCCAATTTAGCTATACTTTTTTCAGGTAATTCTTCATCCAAAGTTGGATTTTCTGTGATTGGTAAAAGTAAAGCACCTTCATTTGGATTATCATCAAATGCCAAAGTTTGAAATCGGTCAGAATTATTCTCCCATTTTTTCTTACTGGTTTTCACTTTCTTCTTTAGCAATGTAGACTTACATCTTCTAGATGTATTCGTATCCACTTGGGTTAATAAACAATCATTGCCTGTATTTCCAGTAAAACCACCATAGCTGGTCTTCTCAACATTTGTATCTACATCCCCATGAGAAGAGCTACGTGTTACTCGCGTCTTGAATTTCCCTACATGTTAGATTTCAAATTACAAGGGAAGAAAATAACAAAAAATATATGCAGGAAAGGAAAAAATAGTTCCACTTTCAAGGTGAAAAGGATAGGATCTACATTTCTTTATCATCATCCCAAACTTTGCAACAATAACTAGATTGAAAGAATGGTGGTGTTGGATTTGTAACTTCAACCATATCAATTCTGAATACAGGAATAACTACATTTGACCACAAGAATTAAACAATAGCTCTTTGGTCTTTACTATTAAGGTAGGGAAGAGGAAGAAGAATGAAATCGTAAGTTAAGCATCTTGAATCAAGGAATTGCAGTTAAGTGAACTAGGGTTAATCTCAATTGAAACTCGTGGACCATTCAGAGCAAGAAAGATATGTAATTCGAATAACTAATTAGCTGAACCATTGCAAGTAAAACAAAATGAAAGCAAAACAACGCTTACTGTTTCTCCGTTTTGAACTACGTGACGACTTTTCTTCAGTGCACTCTTCGGCACAAGGAGTCAGTCTGTTAGATCTTGTAGACCTAGTTTTCGAATTATCAGACCTTTTTCTGGCATTAAGCGATTCACCAAGTTTCTGTGAACATCGTTCTGACTTAGATCCTAGGCTTCTCCCTCGGGAAGAAACCTTTACCTTTTCTGTGAAGTTGAGAGGAGTCGCTGAAGAAGGAATTCGGGTCCTCCGTGGTTCTGGCTTAGGGGTTCTTGGGTCTTCAGGATCTAGGAGCACAACTTGGAGAAATCTTGGAGATCTTCGGAGTGGATAGGCTGGCGTTCTATCCTTCTTCGATGATTTTTTCTGGGGCATTTTCACAAACACCTGGCGTACGTTTGCCACGAAGACTAGGCGACGGAGTACTGGAGGAGTGGAGGGAAAATCGACCGTTCAAAGGGAAGTGAAAGTGAAGACGAACGAATAAAAGCTGGGCCTGAGGTTATTCAGCCCAATTCGTCTATGCAATGGGTAATGATAGATTACATTATATCAATATTAATACGAGAGAAGAAGAAAAAAAAAATTATTAAAAAAAATAGATTTAAATTAATACTAAGAGTTTTTCAAAAATAATCATAAATTTTATAGGTCTCAACTCTCAACTGTCGTATGTCAAATTGACACGGTACATAGGCTAAGGTTATGTTTGGCGGACTAGCTGAAAAGCTAGCTGTTAAATAAAAAGCTAGTTGATAGCTGAAAAACTAGCTGATAAAAAAATAACGTTTGGTAAACTAGCTGAAAAGCTAGCTGAAATATATAAAATTACATAAAAGGATATGTAAAAATATGTGTTTCTATAATTAATTAAGGGTATATTTGGAAAATTTTAAAAAAACTCCTAAAAAGCTAGTCTAAGTAGCTTTTCAAAAAGCTAGCTTATAAGCTACTTTTTAGCTTACCAAACACGACCACATAAAAAAAACTCGAAAAATAAGCTAGTTTATCAGCTAGCTATAGCGCGCCAAACACAGCCTAAGACTGGTAGTGCCCACACCACGTTATTAGAAAAAAAATAAAATAAAAAAAAACAAAAAAAAACGCTATAACGTGTTATGGTGGTAACGGGGAGTAACGTACAGTCTAATAACGGAGAAGGGGTCGGTGTTCACGTGTTATAACATGCAATAACACCCAATAACATCGTTGCCCATACCCACCTCTCTAAGGGGTATGCCGGTATTATGCTTTTTTTAACGATGGTAAAAAGGTGCTAGGTAGACGTCACGTCAACTTTCATATTTTTTTATAATTTTCACCTAAGGAATAGGGTGTGGTAAATGGTTTATCTATGAGTTTTATCTTTATTTTTTTTTTTAATTTCAATAAAAAAAATAAGAACTTTTTTAAAAACCATACTAAAATCAAAATAAAAACATAAAATTAAAAATTACATTTTAGAAATAAAAATAACATTAAAAACCTTTAAAAATATAGAGTGAAAAATTTTAAAAAAAGAAAAAAAAAAGAAAACTAGAATAAAACATAACATCGAAATTTCATTTGCGGTCTACTTATATTTTTCTCGAATCGACTACTTCTAATTAATTATTAACCATAATAATTAATAAACCAATTTTTCATTTATTTTTCGACTCAATTTGGTTCTTGATAGCAACCCAAAGAACCTTGTTATTATTAGAAATATTACCAATAGTCAATGACCTTGGACACTCTTTCCAAAAGTCTCCTACTTAGACAAGTCATCAATTATACGAGGTCTAATATTTCTCCAATAATCAACAGAGAGTTAGTTATCCAATGTAACTATCGAACTCTTGATCTCATCAAGATTCAGCCCATAGATAAGTGATCAACTATCTGTTCGTTCTAGATATTTGTATGAATTCCAGACATAAACGATGGTAAATCTCATAATTCAGGATGATGTTTTCCGATATAGATTTGTGACAACTACATCTGACTACTAAATTGAACATATTAATTCTAGTCAGGGCTCGGCCAAACACTTTAGATATCAACACCATAGATATCGATTATTCTGTTAAGGCAGAAGTAACAAATAAACTTCGACTACATAGTTTTTGTCTATTTCATCATATCATACATGAACATACCCTTTATAACTACCAGTTACGGATAACATTTGAGTAAATAGCCATGTACGCCAGCATACACTTGGGTTCTCCTAGCGTACGTACACAACTATGTGTTTTTCATTTAAATGCCAAGGGGCCAATTTTGCAAACAATTCTCATACTATGGGTCAAAGATGAAACTACTTGAACAAAGGTGTTACATCTTCTCTTCCTCGACTCTATATATATATATATATATATATATATATATATATATATATATATATATATATATATATATATATATATATATATATATATATATAGGTGTTCAAAGTAGTTATTGTACGCATAAATGTTGGTCAATCAAAATTATATAAAAAATGAAATAATTAAATAAATAAATAAGGGTAATTTAGTAATATGATTAATAACTTCCAAAAATAATCTCTATAATCATGGTATTGACTTTTAACCTAATTTCTACATGTTTATATCTAATTGACTTTTTCTAACCTTAAATTTATCCCGTTCATAATTCGGCCTCACACCCTTATCATCGGCCGACCATAGCAACTCCATATTTTCAATTCGACATCAACCAACTTCACATGCTCGATTCCGAGACCCGTCTCATACATGTTCTTACATTTTACATTCAAAATCTTCAACCGAATTCAACATGCGTCCTTATTTCTTAGCGATAAAGAAACAATATTCAACGGTAAAATCGCTCACTCGTCAACTTGTTTTATGGTTACTGTTTAGATATAATAATGATTTAGGGTTTTAATTCTCCTCTTTCGTCGTTTCTTGGGTTTTGGGAATTTCCATGTGAAATTTGAATCATATAATCTCTTTAATCAATATGCTTTTGATGTTAAAATATATTCGATTAATGATCCAGTGGAAAGCATAATTTTGAGAAAATTGTTGATACCGCTTAAGTGCGTCGTTTTTTTTTTAAAAAAAAAAGCAAATTTGTCTTCATTATTTTGTGTATTGTGTAAAATAGCTTTTTGGGTCACAAAATACAATCAGTGGGTTTAGTTCCTCCAAAATCGGCCGTTCAATCTTCCGACTTCTAATTACATTAAATTGAGAATTATTCGGTCTATGTTTTGTTTCTTTAAAATGTCAATAAATAAATAAATAAATAAAAAGAACAATATTTTTTTCTCCATCGTTTACGTAAACAAAGAAAAAAAATACTTTAATTGGTTTTGTCTGTACTTTTGTATGAATTGTTTCTCTCACTAGAAAAACTTTTGTATGAATTGTTTCTCTCACTAGAAAAACAAATAAAAAGACATTGCAAGATAGGTGTTTGTGGAAATGCATAATCTAAACCCGACCGTCAGAATTACTAAAGCTTTTGTTATTATACATTTCCAATTCTTTCAGAATTACTAAAGCTTTTGTTATTATACATTTCCAATTTTATCAGAATTGAATCACGAATTCAAATTATATCGGAATGGAAACACGAATTCTAATTTTGTTGGAATGGAATATGGATATTTTTTCATTGATTATACATGTTCTATAATTTTTGGTTATTGGTTTTGGTGCATTTAACAAGTCCGCATATTTTTCAAAGGAATATAATTTTTTATTTATCATTTGCTAATGCGTTATAGAATTCTAACCTACAATTAGATTTATTTTCATAGAAGTTGATGCTTGAAGAACAGATAACAAAATTGAAAGTGTTTCTTAACAACATTATTCTTTTAGAATGAATTAGTGTATATTGTTAGATTTTGATGTTTTTTTTTTCCCGATTTGAAAATTTTTTAGTTTTATTCTTTAACAATAAATGTAATTGTTAGCAATTGCTATATGTATTTGTCACACCCCGAAACCCAGTGCGGAAACGTTCCGAGGCGGAGATGACTTCATGTTAAGTATCACAACCAATGTACATAGTAAGCAAAGTAAACAAACATTACATTACATATTAGAATTTACATTTGTTCAAAAATAAGTGTTACAAGTGGTATACATATGTATATATGAACAAAAGTGTAGACGTGTCTTCTACGAACTCCGTCTTTGCCAAAAGGATTGTTGGTATCTGTCTAAAGTGGACCTGAGAATACAAGCAGTTTGAAAATTAGCATAAAGCTGGTGAGTTCATAAGCGGTTTTGTTTTCTGAAAATGAACAAGTTTCCTTTCGGTTTCTGTAAAAGTTACGAATCCAAGAAAATCTCATATTTTCTTATGTGTAAAGTTTGGTTATATGTTTTGTTACACGATTCTGGTTATGAACGACTGTTATCCCAGGAAAATCCCATATTTTCCTAAAATTTGGTTACCAATCTGAAATGTAATGTAAAAGATGTGTACTGAAAACCTGATTGTCCTTGTGAAAAGTATTAGTTTTAACATGTATATAAAACTAATAAGTACAAAGTAAACTAGTTACTGAATCCATTATTACTAACAAGTAAATCTCTGTTATCCATGCGAGTTCCATAGTCATACGATAGACTAGATATGGCAATAAGTAGTCCAAATCACTTTATGACTTTCGTCACCCTTGAACCTTTCAGTTCGGCTGTAGCTAGCAGCCAGGTGCGGGGTAGTCAGCCCCGTATAGATCTATACACTCAAGTCACGCTCCCTATCTAAGAGATTCTGGTTACAGAAGCTGTCCTCCACTCGCGTATCTCTGTGGAGTTTTCCCGAGGACGTGTCTCCAATTTATAGTAATAACAAATTTATTAGTAATAATACAGAAAGATCCTGATGATCCTCCACTCGCGTATCTCTGTGGAGTGTTACCGAGGGCAAAACAATGTACTAGGTTTCATGTTCAAAATTCAAAGGTTATGCTTTTAACTGTTATAATGTGGAAAAAAAAACATTTGTGAAAATATAAAATACAACATTTTATAACGTTTTTCACAAATAATACGATAATGTGTTCTGCAAGTTCAAACGGTTGTTTGTTACGACTATCAGTGTTAAAAGCATATGGAGTATGAAACATAACATATGTAAAACAAGTTTTGAGTACAAGTATTCCTTGTACTTTGCTTGTATTCCCCCTGAAAACAGTGAAAAACATTGAAAAAGGGTAGGGGTATGAACTCACCAGACGAGAAAACGTATCGGTTTGGATGCTACGAGTCAGTTCGGGGCTTGATAACGTGCGAGGTTCCTATGTAAAATGAAAGGATATATAATTGTATCTAATTAGACTTTGAATCACTAATTAGATAGGAGTAAACACTTCTCGACGTGAAAACATTTCAATTCAAGTGTTTGGAATGACCCGGGTAGCATCTATGGATGTGTATGGTTTGGATATGGAGTTTACTCCCAAGAGTAAACTCCTTTAGGAGTTTACGGTCCAAATGCCAACTCCCCATGAGTTTACGGCCGTAAACTCA